CGAATCTGGTTGGTAAACACGGAATGGAAGGCTCACAAGAGACCAATAATACTGACTTTTAAAAATCAGGGCACCTGTCAAAGGCACCCAACGCAGGCGCACCGTGGGGCTGGTTAGTGATGAAACTAATGGGGCACACGCATCGGGTCTGGCCTGCTTGGTGGCACTGACCCTGAGAGCCCTGCCCTGTTAGGAACAAGCCTGTGCTTGGTTTTCTGAGCTTCTCATCTCCAATCCTGTCACCAAAAACATGTCCCCCCCGTGACACCCTTACAGGGTCCTTGTTCCCACTTGTACCAGTTTCTTTCTGGTCTAGCAGCTCCTTCCACTTTTACGACCACCTTCACAGCCTTGGCCTCTGCCCCTCCCCTCCTCTCCCCCAGCTGGGAAGAAGTGACCTGCAGCGGGAGGCGGAGGTAGTTGAGAACGTCTGGGGAGCATCTCACTGCCTCCGGAGGCTGCCAGGGCCCCCGACACCTTCTCCCAGGCACATAGCACGATAGAGCGCGGACTCTGAAGGTCTAGCCGGTAAAAATAACGAAGGAGAAGATGTCTGCCTGGCATTTGCAAAATGATATTAAAGGGGTCACTGTGTCTTTTAAAAAAGGAAGAAAACTGATACAGAAGAAAGTTAAAGGGCAGATTTCAAAGTGGCAAGAGAAGAAAAAACATTAGGATGATGAAAACACAGAGCCGGGGATGCAGAGACGTTGGGACAAGGACAGACGGCAAACACGCCAAAGGGGGCCGGCACCGAGACGGAGGGGCGCCTGGGTGGTACAGGGCACACACTCACGTTTCTGAGCAGGCACAGCAGTTTTATTTAAAATAGCAACCCTACAAGAACAATAAAAACGGCGATCGCTCTGAAATAGAACAAAATGGGAAAAAAACTGGAGAAAGAAAGTATCAAAAACACAATAGGAACAGAAACAAAACCAAAGGTGATTCGGGAGAAACAGGATCCCAAACAGAGTAAGTTTATAAAAAGAAAAAAGAACCGAGCCAGGAAAAACAAAGAGAACAACAGTCAAAGGGGAAAAAGAGCTAAATACCATGAGAGGAAGAGTCTAGTTACGGCCCTTGATTTAATTCACCGACGTTTATTAAGTATGCACACTAATACACTAAAATTGGCTCTTTGTAAACAGGAACCCACAGTCCCGTCGGCGGCACAGAATTGGGGGCCAGAGAGCCTGGCGTGTTCCTGGGGGTCTCCTGCCAAGGAGGTTTGTGCTTTCTCATCCAACGCAGCGAATTTAGGCAGAGAAACATCCTCTGTAAACAGATCTAAATCACATACAGCAGCGCTCGGTCTGAAGGCGCCATGGGGAGAAAGTGGGTAAAGCAGGAGAACAGGTGGCGGTGTCCGCAGAAGGAGAGAGAAGCCTGGGCAGAGGGGCTGACCAGCTGAAGGCCGGACACGGCAGGACAGAACCGCCGGTGTCCCGGGCGCCCACACCATTCCCGCCACACAAGAGTCCCTCTGATAATGACAGAGTGTCAACTGCTTCCATGGACGTCCATCTACTGGAATTACCTTCTTATCCGTGAAAAACAATGGGAAGGGAAAGCACAGACAGGCAAGAATTAGGGTCCGAACAACTGCCACCGCGGAGCAGATGCAGCGGTGGAACAAAGATGGGAACCCTAAACAATCTGAGGGGGGAGCCGACCCACTGGGAGAAGCTGGTGGGCCCCGTCCTCGGGGGACTGTTCGGCTGGTGGCTTTCATCATCTCTGCCGCGTCAGCCTGGCGCTCTGCTGGACGCGTGTCTGGGGCCCTCCAAGCCAGGAGGAACCACTGCACACGCAGTGAAGCCCCCCTGTACAGGAGAGAAAAACCCGCGGCCACCTAACACCTTGTGAAAGAAGGCCACAGAGTGAGTCTCTTTTCTGCGTCAAGTGAGACAACACGGCGGAAGGAGAAAGGACAGCAAAGCCAGCGGCTGTGCGGCAGAGAGGGAGCAGGGGGCTCGGCGGGTGGGGTGGGGGTGGGGGCACGAAGACAGAAACAAGGTAACAAAATGCACAAAGCCAGCCCTAGGAAAGAACAGTCAGAGGCAGAACCTGCAAAACAACAGACCCGGGGAAAGAGGCACAAGACGGAAGAGCAGCGTGGAATCCAGTAAGAAACAGAAACAAAATGTCAAATACTGGATTTCCTGAAGCCGCAGGCAGAGGACAGCTGTGAATCGACGGAGGGGTGGGAGGCGGCAGATGCAGCCGGTGGTGACAGCCGCACCGCTGAGTTCTCCTGTGCCCTTGCCCAACTGAGAGCCCACGGCCGTCCTCCCTCCGATGACCCGGCTGCTTTGGGACTTCCCACCCAGTGGGGCCATCCCTGAAATGCTGGTGCACCATTCAGTAATCACACCTACGAAAAGGCACCCACGCCGCTGGGCCACGAGAACCCTACCGGGGCCAGGACGGTCACACCCCCGTGGCCCCTCAGGGCTCTTCCGCAGGGAGATTCCAATGCGCCAACAAGGATTCAATCTCTAGTCACCGCAGACTTGAAGGAGAGGGTGCCTCTAGCCCCACCCTGGAGCCCATTCTCGCACAACACACTCTTTTTCTTTCCTCGTGGAGAGTGTGGTTGGTTGGTGAGACACACCCGGTTAATGAGTCAGAGGTGTCTCCCGAAGGACAACAGAGGGACACTTGCCCTCCCCCCCCCCGCCCCTGAGTCCTACAGGAGTCATCGTCACCCCACAACGTCTTCCAAACCAGGGCTTAAATACATACACATATAGTTAATTTGGAGCACACAGGTGCAATGGCGGTATTTTTCACTTACATATTTGCAAGAAAATATCTGAGACCAAGGTGGAAGAAACCAGATGTTTTGAGAAGAGAATGTACTGTGATACCCTGCCGGCTCCTCTGCCCCCAGCAGAGCACAGGTCTGCACCCCCACCCCCCACCCCCGACGTGCAGGGTCAAGGTCACAGCCCTCAGGGAGGGAGGAAGAAGCGAGGGACCAGGGGGTGGGGAAAGGGCAAGAGGAGGTAAAGGAGATGAATAGGCCCCAGACAGGTCTGTGCTCTCTCTCAAGAGCCACCGTTACAGCAAAGCTGTTAGTTACTTTCAATGCACTTATATTCTTCCTTCCCTCCATTGAAAATACTGACCACGCATGTGTCCTGAGGCAGTGCCTGCTTCCATCACAGCAGAGCAGAAATGATGAAGGGTGCTTTGTTTCCCAATTAGATAATTTATGAGCAAGTAGAACTCAGGACACAATTTCTAAACTTGGCGAATGGGGAGACTCGGCTTTCATTTTAGACGTGACAAGGAACACACAAAACAGAAGTGTCCCCGCTTCCTTCAGCGTGCATACGAGCGCAGGGTTCTGGGGACACGTGTGCGGAGAGTTTCAGAAAATGATGTTTAACTGCTAAATGTCAGAACCTCCTCACTCAGCCAAAGGCCGGGCAGAAACCTAGGAGGCCCAATGATGCCCCGGGGGGGACTCGTCTGAGACCCTGGGAAGGGCAAACGTCCTCCCTGGACCGTCAGGTCAAGGTTGGGCAACATCAGGTCAAGGTCTGCAGAGTAGTTGCCATTTGGGGGTCAAAGAACATACAGTAAAATCATTTCTCCTTTACAACCATTAGCCGATGGATTGAAGTTTTCCAAAGCTGTTTCTATCCACGTGACTGAAAACTAGTTTGGTTCTGAGTTTCAGAGACCGGGAAAGGGGAGCGGGAGAGAACCCAGTTCCAGGCACCCTTTCGGGGACCTCCCCCATTTTAATTAAGTTACACACTCTGACCCCCAGACCGGGATGTCAGGGAACCACGGCTCAGAAAGCCACAACGTGACGTGGTGACGTTGCCTGGTACTGGGCAATCTGGGGCTTCGTTCTGTGCCTGCAGGCACTGGTCTCCTGGGCGAGCCGTCCTGTATGGAGCAGAGAACACACTCCACACCATCTGACCAGGGCCTCCTCTCCTGCTGCTTCACAATGGTTTCTTCCTCCCTCACAGATCTGCGCTGAATGCTAACGAAACATTTACAAGACACCTGCCGACCCTCCCTGAATGCTAATATGGGAGCAGCCGCCGCTGTTCATTAGAACAGGCAGGAAGGTCTCCCCTTCCTGATCAGGGCCTTTGGCCCCGAGTTTAATCCAAATAATCTGATAACTTGAAAAAAAAAAAAGGAAGAACTGAGTACCTATTTTTTACAAGATGCTACTCTGTACAGGCACCTACTGCGGGCAAGTAGCAGATGTGGAGATCAAAGCAAACCTCCCAAGACCAGGGCGTTTGCCATAAATCACAACATTTTGCGTCACTGAATTCACACCTTTTCCCACTGAGCTTGAAAGCTAAATTAGATGCAAAATGCTCACCTTTTTAGCATCAAGCTTTTGCATGGCTCCCCACCATACAACATGGTCTCAAGTCACATGAAGATGCTGCATTTTCTACCCATTAACATATATTTCCACATTTTATTCATTAGGCTCTTGAAGGCACTTCGGCACAAAGATTCCATTTATTGAATCCCAAAATAAAAATAGCATCCGAGTCTCTTTGCGACTCCCCACACGCCGTTAGGGAAAAATGATCAGATGCTCAAAAATGTAAAACACGATTTATACTGTGCCCCATTTACTACAAAATCGCCCCGAACGACGCGTTTTCTGCAGGGTGTACGGTCTGTGGCGCCCGGGAAACGGGATCTGCTTCGGGAAGAAATAAAGAACATTGAGTCTGGAGTCAGCTAACCCTGCTTCGACGCTCTGGGAAATGGCTCCTCAGGATGTTACTTCCTGTCAAGCACGTAATGCGGTAATGTGCTGTTTTCCTCAATAAAACGAACCATTGCTATAATTCCAGCTTCCTTCCTTTGCCACTTCTTCAGCCCTGACCGTTCAAACAGTGCAGACCTGGACGTCTCCAGCCAGTCTGATGTGCCCACTGTGTAGTCAGTAACCAGGCAAGGGCCCCCGGACAGACAGGTGAACAGGTGACAGGTGAGGTCCTTACCTGCCCGCAGGCCAGGCCCATCCCCCGCTCGCCCATGCCGTGTGGACAGGACAGGTTCAACTCCAGCGCGTCTGCTCCGGAAGCCTGGAGGGCGTTCGAGGAAAAGGAAGGAAAAGACAAAGCTTTATTCGTGAGCCAGGAAGCTTTCATCACGGATAACTCAACGCCTGGTCAGATTTGAGCTCCCCGCTCTCTCTGGGATGGCCACCTCGTGAGGGGTGTCCTGTCCTGGCTGTCACAGCGGGGTGTGTGTGACGGCCACCACAGCTCTGGTAGAGTGCCCTATGGGGACACGCCCGGATCCCTGTACCCTGGCTCTGTGTCTCCACTTCTTAGAGTCCTATGATTGGGTCCCCGTTTTACACACAAGGAACCCAGACCCCAGGAACCAAAGGCCAAGCCTGGGTGTCCAGAGACGCCGCTCCCTCAGGTCCGTCGACCTCAGCTCTGCCCTGCCCTGCACAGCATCTGCTTTCGTGGGGGCGCCTCTCACTGGTCCTGGGTAACCGGGGCCGTGGGCAGCCGTGCACAGAAAATGCAAAATGCCAGTGGGAAGGAATCCAAGTAAAATTTCAAAAGTTTTTCACTGAAAATCAATGTTACTGTACTTTTGTAAGTTCCATGCTCAGAAATTAGAAGCGCAGGGATTCTGTCTTAGTTTAAAAACTAAATAGGAATCTTTCTCAACAAACTCATTAATGCATTTGTGTACAGAGGGGTCCTATCCTGCAAGATGAACAAGTTTACTCCGAGAACACTCAGAGAACCATGAAATTCTCGAGGAGTCTTCTGTGAAAAACTCTAAGAATAAGCAAAACACTTTTTATAGTTTGATCATAGTAATTCTAGGAATGAAGGATAAACTAAATGATTCAAGTTTTGCATCCTTTCAACTAACTTCTAGAATTTCCCAGACGCTACAATTTCTTTTTAAGTAAGATCAACTAGAAACTCAAATCCCTTTGCATAATATTGTAACAGGTTTATCAAACCCTGCAACGGCTTCAAAAAGTCCACTGTTTTCTAAGTGTACGGCCAACAGCTGTTCCTTCGGGGCCTCTCTTTTCTTCCCGGTTGTTCAGAATTTTCGCCTGTTTTTGCTTTTTGCTTTATGCATTTTCAGTAGGACCCAACAGGCTGAAGAGCCCTAGGGAGCCATGTTCTCACCCATTGCCATTCACCGGCGAGTCAGCTTTTTCTTCTGCCCACTTGTGAGAGTTCATTTGCTCATTCTGCCTGGTTCCTAACAGGGTTTCAGTATGGTTTTTGCGTCCCTAAATCAGTTTTAAAATGCTTCCTGTTGCCCTGGCTGGTGTGGCTCAGTGGATTGAGCGCTGGCCTGCGAACCGAAAGGTCGCCAGTTCAGCTCCCAGTCAGGGCACATGGCTGGGTTGTGGGCCAGCTCCCTGGGTGGGGCGTGTGAGAGGCATCCAATCAATGTTTCTCTCCCTCTTTTTCTCCCTCTTTTCCCCTTTCTAAAAACAAATAAGTAAAATAAAATGCTCCCTGTTACTTGAAAAAATTACTTTAAATCATGCTATTTTCCCCCTGCTGACTGGGTGGTGATCACAGACAAGGCGCTGATGACTAAGCCGAGTTCCGTCCAAGGCCAGCTAAGGAACTGCGGGCGCCCAGGGTGAGCCGCTCACCTTGGCCCCTACCCCAGAGTCAGCTGTAATAATACAATGAACCGCAACGCCATGTCACATGGGAACGACCCCTTATCTAAAACGGTGTACACGGCCGTCATATACACTACTGCACTTTTCTTACAGTTTCTGAGCTTGTTCAAACATTTCCTTCAGACTTCTTTATTGAGCTGAAATGCAGCAGCCAACAGCACATCAATCACGTTTTGGAATACACAGCTTAAGGTGGCATTTACGTACGTACTTCCTAAAATACAAGCGCAGGCTCACGCTTGGCCATCAGAACATGTGCTGGGCACTGACAATGTGCCAGTCGCCGTGCTGGGCTCTTTGGCGTGGGAGTCTCACCGCTGTCGTTTTACGAAGGTGACGCCACGGCACAGAGAGTTTGGGTCACTCAGTGGCTGGCACACAGCACTTCAAGAGCACTTGGCGTCCAACGTCCGCGTTCCGACCACTCCCGTGACTTACTGGAAATCCCGTATTCCGGGGCCGGTGTCGTGACGGTATGTTAAGAACACTCGACATCCTTAAAACTTCTAACCTCTTGAGTAAATATTAAAATCCCGTAAAACCAGCTATGCACTTGAACATTTTTTTCAGCGGCCAATCATGAAAAGTTTCTCTGGTACTGCACAGATACACAAACACTGACCCACCAAACACACCTGGAAGGGCCTAGGGAGGGGCGCAGACTTCCTGCTCAGGGGGACGCGCCCCAGGCGGGGGACGCCCCTCCGGCCTCTGTGCAGTGCCGTCCTCGCAGGATGCCCACCACCAGGAAGGGCAGCCGCCGCCAGCTCCCGGCAGCTCTAGGCATTCGAAGAGCTTTAAGTGCTGAGTGAGCGCGGAATGTTGGACTCACCCGAGACCCCGGTGAGTCCCGAGTCCCTGGCTCAGTCTCATACTGGAGTTCGCTCTAGGTCACCTAAGGGACTCTCCGCGGAAGGGTTCCAGTGAAGGCAGAGGGGGAGGTGCGACATTACTGCCCACACCCCCGTCTCCCACCCAGGGACCTATGTGGGCTCTGGAGCCGGGACTCGAGGGTTTGAATCCCGCTTGGACCACACAGGAGCTGCATGAACGTGGGCATATCATTTCAGTACCTACCGCCTGAGTCTCCTCATCTCTAAAACGTGAAAAACTCTGGAAGGAACCACACTTCCGTGAAGTATAAATAAACCTACTAAAATGAAGGGCTTACAACTGGGAGCTCTTCCCCCCTCCCTTCCCCTCCCCCTCCCACCCTCTATCCCTCCCCCCTTCCTTCCTTCCCTCTTTCCTGCTTTCGTCCCTTTTATTTCTGGCTGTGAGAACTTAGAAAATGCCATTAAACTGCAGTTCAAGAAACAGATACGCGACGTGAGAAATGTGAAGAACAGCTTCACGTTGGTTAGTACGTTACTCACACAAAAGTTTTTATTTCGTTTTCCAAAGTAACCTTTGCAATTCTAACGACTCATCACTGAGGAAAACATTTTTTAAAGCATTTGCTTCCACAGAAGGGCAGGGAAGCAGGCAGCGTGATAAAGCCATTCATCATCGTCAGCTTAAAATTGGCCCAGCTCACGCCAGGCACGGGCTCCGTGGAGGGGTTCACGGTCCATTAGGTAAATACACGTGGAAAATGGACCCAACTCGGGAGATCACGAAGCCAATTACTGACCGTGTTTAATTTCACCCCCCAAGTCCCAGAAGTAATTTCCCCCTCACAGGTTTGCGATATCTAAATAAATTGTAAAATCAACGCTTCTGAACTCTCTCGAAAACTGCAGAGCAGTTGACAATGCGGAGTCGTCCGTGCACGAGTATCGTTAGGTTCAGTCTTCCATGTACCTGAGAGGCCTCAGAGAAACCCCAGCTGACCCGTCTAGGGCATTTTTCACGGCCACACGATGGACATCAGCGTACGATGGTCAACGTGTTTTCCTGTTTGAAGCACTAATTCGAGGCCCCTGGACAGCGCGCAGCAGGCGGGACTCAGCGGATTTTACAGAAAACCCCGCTGAGCGAGGTTCCCTCCCGGAGGGGCTTGTCCCCCCATTTCATGCGTGGCTGCGATCACACCAGAATGCTACTCAACGAACCTTTCACAGTGTAAACATTCAAGAGTTTTATATTCAAAATTCCTCTTCTCCCTGTCATACTAGCTCCCCTAAAGGCAAGGTAAGACCAAGTCGGACTCTCAAAGGCAGAATTAAATTTTACCGTGACGTCCATCAGAATATACAGTTTGCTTAATATGCAAACACAGAGTAAATGGATGCACAGAATAAAGGATTTTTCAGGAGTGCATGAAGTCCAAGGGACCACTTTCATAGCATAGATTCTTTTTATATTCACATGTCCATCATTTGAGTGAAAACTCCGTCAGTAAACGGATGGTAACAGAGGGGTTTTAAGTCACCATTTCCCACTCAGTTTTACTGCTACCGGGTTAGGCTCCTCGGAGGCTCTTTATGCCAAACGAGTAAGAGCAGATGGAAGACCCGGAACGCCGGGGCGCCGAGGGGACCGCACGTACCTCGGCCATCTGCGCGAGCTCCGTCCAGTCGCTCTTGCTGTAGGGACACATGAGGCTGGCGATCAGGACCTTGGGGGAGAGAGAAGAACAGCGTCAGTCAGTGACGCCGCCACACACGAGGGCTCACGGGCAGGTGCACATGCACATTCACAGCGGCAAACTGTGCTGTGCGTGTTGGTCGCACACCTGTTGGCAGAGAAACCAGTTTGAAACAGCAGGTGACGTGACGAAGCAAAGGCGGAGGATCTGTACCGGAGACTTCCTCGTTTTCCTCTGATTACGTGAGCATGTTACCTGACTTTTCTGACCCTCTGTGTCCTCGTTTTTTTTTAAGATTTTATTTATTTATCTTTAGAGGGGAAGGGAAGGAGAGAGGGAGAGAAACATCAGTGTGTGGTTGCCTCTCATGTGTCCCCTGCTGGGAACTGGCCTGCAACCCAGGCATGTGCCCTGACTAGGAATGGAACCGCGATCCTCTGGTTCACAGGCCTGCGCTCAACCCACTGAGCTACACCAGCCAGGTCCGTGTCCTTGTTTTTAACATGAAGATCACACCGACTTTGCCAGCCGCAGGAGACAGTAGTGGGGATCACATAAATGGGTCTGTGGGGGTGTGGGGGGAGGGCTGCCTCAGTTATACAATGGTGCGGAAATGGTTATTAATATGATTGCTGACCCAGGGAAAGGTGTCAAGCCAGGGGGAAGAAATGAGCCAGCGTCTCCTCCGTCATCTCTCCGGCCCTGCCTGGTCACGGCGCATCACGGTGTTCAGTGTGTTGGAAGTCGGTGACAGAGGACGGCCCTGCAGGACCCCGGCACCGGCGGCTGTGGAGAGGAGTGGTCCCACCCTGCTCTGAGGCCAGCCTCCGCCGAGGTCGGCACGGCCCACCCTGGGGGCGACACTGAACTTCCTCGCTGGGTAAACGGGCATCGTAAAGCCCCAGCTAGAAAGGTAGCCGGAGAAACCAGGAAGAGTTCCAGAGTGCCAGTGGCTAGCGCGGCACCGTCTGGGTGGCTTTGACCTCCCTGCCCGACTGAGCCGTTCCCAGCACTTTCCTCCCCATTGTCCAGGCAGAGACGCTGAGGCACAGTGGCCCAGGGCCACCGAGCTGAGGGATGGCAGCCAGGCCCCAGGCCCAGGTCGCTGGCACATTTGTCCCCTTGGTTTTCCGGCCCCAAGTAGGTGTCCCACACATGTCGGTGATTATGTAGCTACGACTGTCACTTAAATTCCGTGAGACTCAGCCACAGACACTGCGCCGAGCCTGAGGCCATGAGGCCGGGGCAGGTCCCTCGGAGCCTCTGTGTGCAAACACCTGAAGCCTCCTCGGTCACGTGGACACACGGAAATGCACGTGGTTTCGGCAGTTCTATAAGGATGCAGGGAAGGGGCAGGGCCCCACAGGCTTCGAGGGCGGGGTTAGACCCAAGGATCCGATGGAAGAGAATGACAGGCTGTGCTTCAGAGACGGCTCCCCTGGGAGGAGAGTGGGGAGCAGCCGCGGACCCAGGTACTCGGGAAGTTTCAGGGTGGGAAACGGAGCAAGATCAAGGCAACCAGAACAGAGACAGGCCTCCAGTTGCCACAGAATAACCCTGGTTAACTTCCCAGGTGACCGTGCACCTGCAGAGTGTCCCAGGTGCCCGGGGGTGGAGGTGGCACAGCGGGCCAGCCCTCCTCCAGGGGGAAGTCGCCGCACGGACCACTGATCCCTGCGCCCCACTGGTGACTAGCACGGCCCCCCTTTGCTAAAGGACGATTTTGATTTGGACAAGTATTTGTCTGTACTTGTCTGAATGTGCACTGGCTTTGTCGGGGCTGCTCAGAGTCGTCACTTGCCCTCTGGGTCCCAAGGATCCGGAGGAGAGAAAGCTGACCCCGGGAACCCGCAGGGGACGCTGGTGGGTGGCAGACACTTGACTGGGAGGGGACAGAGCCCAGGGAAAGAAACCTCGTGAGAGAACAGTAACAGATCCAATTTCAACGCTTTACATGGAAACTATGTGGCAGGCAGCTCGTCAGAGAGGACACCCATCGTGCCTCCGGACACGAGAGCTTAGAATTCACTAGAGGGGTCAGGGTGGAAGATGTGATTTCGGGGGGCGTCCGGCAGGAGGTCAGAAACTGAGGTGGGGAACAACATCACCCTGCCTATTGGCTCCCGGCCGGCTCTTCACGGGATCCCGGTCTCTGTCGGCCGAGGCTCACTCTCATTCTTGTTCACACACACACACACACACACACACACGCACGCACACATTTGCATACATGTGCGTGCACAGCCGGCACTGCTTCGAGTTCCCAAGAGCAGGCTGGGAACCACCTGTGGGGGAACTTGGTCAGCAGTTCAGTGTCCAGACAACCTACATTTTTGGTAGGAAAAACTGCCAAGTGACAAAGGGGAACGAGGGTAGGTTACAGTCAGACAAGTTAGATTTTGTCAAGCGATTCAACAAAACCGTCGCTAACACTCCTGAGATTACATAGAGAAAGGAAAAAAAAGCAAGGGCCAAGTGGTTTTCAAAGACATGTAAACAGGAAACCCTGCTGAGTAAACATTCACGAACTCTGCAACATCTGCATTTTCTGTGGTCTGTGGACTCAGTGCGGGGCGGGGCAGTGGCACTGGGGTTGGCCCGATTTCCTGGGACACAGACGCGGGGAGGGGACAGGAGAGCGAGGCCCCCCGGCACTCCTCGCCTCTCGTGGCCGCTGTTGACTTCATGTTCTCGCGTGGGAATGGCATTCTTCAAGTTGTCTTTGTATGCTATTTTCTTCGTGTATTTTTGCACCAACCAATGCCTCGCTCGTACAACTATTCCAAACACAGAGAATTAAACAACAGGCACAGTTTCCGCTGAACGTGGGAGACATCTCCCACCAGACCAGGGGAAAAGCAGCACCGAGCAGCACTCAGGAGCCTCGCGAACCGCGGCGCTCCCTCTCCCGTCTTTCTCCCTCTCCTCACTCGTCAGCCAGCTCGTATCCAGTCCGTGCCCACTGTCCGACCGTGTCCAGAAGCTGGTCCCCCCAGGTCACCCTAGCAAATGCAGTGGGCACTTTCCAGCCTGAATCCCCACCGGAATTTTCATGGCACCTGGACCGGTAACCACCCCCCTCCTCCACGTGAGCATCAAGAGAGCCCGCTCCTCCTCCTCCTCCTCCTCGCCTACCCCTTCTCCCGCTCCTTGACCTGTGGGCGGCCCCAGGGTCTGCTTACGGGTGGGCCTGTCAGGGCCACTTCTCACACGTCCTCTGGGTGCCACGATCGCAGGGGTTTCAGACCACCCCTCAGTGCCTCCCACCTGCTTTCTCTGAAGTGCCAGAACAGTGATCCCAACCACCTCCTAACCCTAATTCCATGTGTTCAAATTGCTCCACCTGTGTGTTGCTGTGTATCCTCCACGTTACATATATGCTCCCATACCACCCTCTCGTCCCAACCCAGAAAACGAGGAGCTGCTTCCGTTTGCTCTCTGCCTGCACCCCGTTCTCACCGTGGGGCTCACTGGCTCTCACTGTGGGCCAGGCATTGAAATCACTGGGAGAGGAAGAATAACAACAACAAAAAGACCCCTGAGGATTCTGAGCTCATCTGCGCACAGCGAGGCCCAGACGGCACAGTCTTCCAAGGGTCTCCAGGTCATTCTCATGGGCAGGGAAGTCTGAGCATGTTGCCCGCACCGCTCCCCGGAGAGCACATCTCAACGTCCCCACCCGCCACCATGTCTCTCAGGGAAGACCCCCGCCGTGCTCCGTCCCTGGTTTCAGTCTATACTGTCTGCCCAGCCCTTCTAGGAAGGCAGCCCTGCTTCAGGTTCAACCTCAGGATGAAGCCCAGCTCTCTAACCCGTGGAACACGGCCGGGGCGAAGCCCTGGCTCCAGCCACGCTGTGGCACCTGCGTCCTGAAGGCAACATGTGTTCTCTGCTCTCCTGGCCACGTGTGCGCCCCTTGTGTCTGGGTGAATAAGGAATGAGCCCTGGGCTCCCGGAGCATATGGCGTAAGAGAGCAGACACGTGTAAACTGACACAAAAATAACTAGAGGGCGTGAACCCGGACGGAGCGAGAGCGCAGGGAAGGGGTGGCGACTCGTACCTGCGTGACTCGGGGAAGGCACCGCGGGGAGGTGACGCTCGCTCGATGCCGCAGCCAGCCGTGGGCGTTTACGGCTGATGGGACAGCCAGGGGACAGCGTGCTGCAGGTGGAGGGACCGCAGGGCGAGGGCACGGGGTGCTGTGTTGAAGGAACCCCAAGCCCTTCTGTGCAGCTTCGGGGAAAATGCGTAATCACACTCCATGGAGGACAGAGCCCGATGCATTCGGGGGTGAACCAGGTTTGTCCAGGCAAAGGGCTAACTCAGTGGTTTCTAATCAGCCAGGCACTGCGTTTGAATTTCAGACCACCCTGCCCTGCACTGCCACTCACGTTTGGACGTCGCCCCCCGGGGAAGCCTTCCCCAAGCCCCGCCTCCCCTGGCTGTCAGGGCCCCCACTCTGAGACCTCACAGTGCAATTACACTGTGTTAAATTGCTCTCTGTTTTTCAACAGAGAACCAAGGTTTATAGGCAAGGGCCCATTTTTCATCCTTATATCTCTAGCACCCAGTATTATACCTTGTACCTAGTTGGAATTCAATAAATATTTGCCTCAAAGGAATATGAACAGAGGTGTCTGAGAAGAGAAATTCCAAGTGGTGCACCCTTTTTATTACCAATCCCAACACCTAAACGTAAGTAAATTTCTACGTTCTAGAGAGAGAAGGAAGGACAGGCAGGTGGTAGGGGGCCTGAGCACCTCCTGTCATTTATGAAGGGCCCTTACCATCGAAGAACAGTGACCCATTATGTTCGTCTATGTACTTACACTTAATGCACATGTTCATACACACCACCTCATTTATTCCACACAATCACGTTGAATTTAGAAAACCTTATACTGAGAACAATGGGCACGGGTGATTTAAATTATTTTACCAGGGCCACGTTAATCGAGAGCAGAGGCGAAGATTACGAGCTGGTCTTCTGACTCTAAGCCTCCCTCTACTACATCCAGGCCACCCCATA